GGGGGGGGGGGGGGGGGGGGGGGGGGGGCGTGTCAAATAAAATTCATACTATCCACAAAGTGGGGCAAAAAAATTGAACATCTCATTTCCCCCCCGCATTTAAGAAAGGGAAAATACGGTCTGATCCTCAGGCTAATCGATTTTAGGTTTTCAACGTAGATACAAAATATAGAAAAAATTGCCTCTTAACTTAATCAATCTTTAATGGACACTTCAAGCTTTCAATGGAATCAGTGTATTTTCGGCGTCCTTATAGAGAGTTCAACAGTACTACAAAGTGTGTCCCCAATTAGTTTGTAAAGAGCTAAACACATTGACACTTTTTAATAAAGTTTAATAAATAATAATCCTTTGAGTATATCACAAATGACACAATATAGTTATTATGATCCAAAGAAATGATTACGAAACATTCACACTGGAGGATTTCTGACTTCCACATTCTTCACAAGTCCTTGACCAATTGTTTTGAAATCTGACAGTATGGCTTGAATATTGGGAACAACGGTATTTTCAACTCCATTATTCTGAAAAATAATACAAAACTATTTTCAGGTGGTGTTTCCATGTGCCCCATGCACACCATGGCGCATGAAAACTAGAATTCAGATGGATATGGATTTTAAATTCAGTGAGCGCAGGACGTAAATCCTGGGGCAGTGGGATGGATTTCGTCCTTGCAGTGAGCCAGTTTTGAAGTCAGAAACGATTTTTAGGGCAAATTGATCACAGCACGATTAGTGCTACCCCGGATTAAAATTCCATCAGTTGGTAACAGGAGTATCATAACAGGAGTGCCATACCTTGTCCGTAATTTCTGTGGGAATGCGATATTGACTGCCAAAAACCTAGAAATAAAAGTGTTTGTTTCATCTAACTCAAATTCTTGATCGAAACATTCGCCGTAAAACGTTGACAAAAGAGAAGTAAAATAGCAAACCTTGAACTGCGACGCCTGAAAACATTCTGGCTTCCAAACGACACCAATCTTGTCCCCACCATAAACATCACGAAAGAACATCGCAACGTCAGAGAAGGTTTGCTGGAAAATATGAAGTTTGATAAAATGTAGATGATAAAAAGACAGTGTATATCAGTTTTTCTTTACCGGTCAATTTCCATAATAACAACCATAATTTAAGTACCTTCAAAAAATCCAGTAATGTTATATTAAACTGGACACCACGTTTGTGATCATCAAAAACAACCAAAAAATACGAAATATAAGTATTAAGGTAATCCACATTCATTCTTACCTTCAACTCATCAAAATAACACCGAGAAGGGTCGAAATTGATGACAGGTAAAGAGATGGTTGATGAAGGTTTCAGTTGATAGCTACAATGCTTTGTTGAGTCAATCGCTTGATGACGTCTGGGATTGAATCTTTCATGAAGTAAGATGGTCACATCGTAGTCTTCCAAAGATGGGCGAAATATCAACTACAATAACAAATCCAACAATTCAAATTCAAAATTCCTCCAGGGATATTGAGGAAAGATAAGTTGATGCTGTTCGGAGGAAATGGTAGAATTATAGATATAACATATTTTTAGGTGACAGTTCTAAAAAAAATTGTGAGATTACCTAACAGGGTATTTCCATCAAAGAAATTTTCACCATTGTGTTAAACAACAAGATAATTTCAAACAGTTTTAGTTAGAATTTGAAGCCATTGTTTTGTATAAATTACATAAAAATTACCAAATTCATACCTTCAAGTCATCATCGTCGCTTCCAGAATGCAGCAGTTGATTTTGAAGGACCGTATACGACTCTTTGGCCAGCACGGCAACACGATGTAGAATCTGAAACAAATTATGAAAATCTTAACGTACAGTAACTGTAACATGTTATGTGACCTCACACCATTGTGGCCGTCTCAAGTCTCCTTAACTAGTGTTTAAAACGTTCTGAAACTCATTAGAAGAAGTGGACGGGTAACTATATCTTAACATATATATTTCAATGTTACACAGGCAAAGCCATTTGCTTAATAGTTAAGCTAATTTAAACACCTAACACTTCGTAAATAGTTTCATTGAATTCAAAAGTGTTCTGATTGATGCTTAATGGACTATTAAATTTTACAGCAAGCCATCTGTCCACTGTACACATCACCCAAACACAGTAGAAATATGTCACTAATGTTTACACCCACCAATGATGAAGGGTTGTCTCTGGTCCAGTATGATAAATGCTTATCTTCGGAAGTAGCAATAAACATGGCCGGCAATCTCGCTCTGTTGTTAGTAAAATGTGACTGTATCTCTTGAAAGTCGGCAACTAAAATTGATATCAAAGTATGAATAGGTAAAGATAAAGATAAGATAAAGACTCGGGTGGTCAATTTCCATATCACAACTTAAATACAGCAGTTTCTTATCCTTGTAAATAAGCAGGTACTATAATCATCCTTTCTTGCAGCTGAGAGCTAAGCTGAATTGTGAAGGACACAGCTCAACCTGATCGAATCGAAGGCTTACTAAGGGCGCTTCTTGAAAAAAAATAATACTTCACCTTTTAATTTATCGTTGAAGTTAAGAATCATTGCATTACTTTTCCAATCAAATGTTGACAAGAGGTAAAGAAATCTTATAAATCCATTAGTAGGTGATCTAAAGTGACAAAAACAGGAGGGGGGTAAGTAAGCGAGCTTTGTTAGAGAGGGGCGGGGATTTATTAGAGAGGGATGCTCAGTAGAGGACTTACGATATTTGCGATACTTACGCAGGAGTATTGTATGGATGCGGATGGAGATATATATGAGCCATAATTAATTCGATACATTCTTCAGGAAAGCACGCCAACAACATATGTGAAGAAATCCATCGCTTTGCCAGCCGAACACTGCCACCAAATGACACATATTGCTGCTGAATTCTGAATGATAAAGGCCATTAATGCATTAAAATAGTTCAGTGGAACACCAATTATTAATTAAAAAACCTAATCATATATGGCTCAGGGTATATTGCTCTCCTTTCAGTAATTCCGGCCCACAAAGTTCTCTCGGTCCGCGTCCGATGGACCGACATATCAGTCTGCCTCTGGGTGTCTGTGTTCTCCACCTAGGACCGACAAAATGTAGCAACTGTAGTGAACCTACCCATGAATAACACTAGACAAAAGAGGTAAGTGCACCAATAATCTCTCCAATTCTTCTCCGGTATTTTCCAGAATCGGCCCTGTTGGTCCAGTTTTTTCACAGTTGTTCAATAATACCATTTCTCGATAATGAGCCAATTTGACACGAAAAACATAGCCATCCTATACGCACAAATGATACAGAAGACTTTGATATCGAAGGTCATTTTGAACAATGTGCAAAACGAATTTGCTGGTTTGTTACAAGCTTTATTATATATTTATTTTGAAACCATGCAATGGCGTTTCTTGAAACCTGTAAGTTCATATAGAAGAGCATTATTATTAAACTCAAATCATAATATATTTTAAACTCAAGTCGGCTGGAATAGTATTTCTGTCGAATTTATCGAATTGTAGCGAAAACTGGCAAATGGATAAAATTCTTCCAATTACCAAAAATTCAATAAAACTTGAATTTAGTATATAGCTTCATAAATGTACTAACCTTGAAGACATCGACATGTTTTGTGTTTGCTACAGCAGGAAGGCGATGTTCTTTCTTTAAAATATTAGCAATATTGAGAAGAAATGCGGCTTTGATTCTCTGAATGGCTTCAAGATCATCTGGCCATTGACCACTCGTTTCAAGCTGAATCAAGACTAAAATTGTATCAATAAATAAATGATCAATTATCTAATAAGGGGGAAATTTACGCTATTCCGCATGTAGCAACATGCCTGACGAAACAGTAAACATGATCTTGGTATTCCGCTTGGGAAAAATATGGTTGGCAGCATTGAAGAAAATTTTACTGTTTATGTCGTAGGTTTTGTTCGCTTCCTGTCCTTCCTGCACCTACGTTAATTTCAACTTTTCTACATATGACAGACTGCTCCGTATATGTATCCTGTCTTGTCATTAAAAACAACGCATGGGAAAGCTATCAGGTGTTACACTGCATAATGCCATACAATTTACAACTATTTAAGTAAAACGTTTTTCTATGCATTCTATTGTACATGCCAGTTGGAAAATCTCAGGATCTACAGTAATTGGGGAAACGGGGGAAAATATAGATTTCTGCCACGCGTATATGTTTACCTTCATTGGCTGGACACCACGGTGGACATTTTTCTGTAGATGCTGGTACAGCTGTCCTCTTCTGATTATCATGCTCAACATCGTCACTAACACTCAAGGGTACTGCTGGAAAAACCTAATGAAAACAAACACGTGCATACTTTATATACTTAGTACTATAAATTCTACAGATTCAATACACTGTTAAATATCCCATTATATTTTGGATTCAAAAACGTGAATAAAATAATAACCACAGTAACTAAAAGAGTAAAATTACTATAGCAATTCATTTTTTGTGAATGAAGTTGGGAAACATAAAGTCAACACAAAACAAAACATGCCACCATTCACGTAATCTATCAACCTTTGAAAGAGCTGGGATTTACTTAAAAATGCTGCGTCACTAAAATGCGCGCGTGTCCTCTAATAGATCATAGCTCTCTACCAATGAATTTAGCTTATTATATTAACGTGAATACGGCGGGACTTACTTCAGTCCCACGTAACACAGGCGACAAGCCTTGGACGGAATGAAGAGAAAGAGGCAAATCTAAGTTGCGTAACAATTTAACCAAGGATTCATAACTTCGTATTACGGCTTGGTTCGCTTCCTCGCCAGTGCCGTGTTCAAAATGCTGGTCGTTCTTCTTGTTCGACGAAGTTAATTTGACATTCTGTTTTAATAAAGAATCCAAGCCTTCCGAGGAGAAAAGAACTTTTGAAGAATCTATACAGCCATGTCTAAACAAATGACAAAATTCAAATATTTGTATTCTTACCAGAAATATTGATTTTCTTACCAGAAATATTCATATTTTTACTATAAATATTCATATTTTTACCATAAATATTCATATATTTTTTTTTACTATAAATATTCATATTTTTACCAGACATATTGATATTTTCTACCTCCTTACCTGTGAAGAATGTATTTTATGATCTTTTGGCATATTTTTCGTTTCTCACAAGCATTTGCACAATCCCATACAACCGCTTCAGAAATGGAACCATCTTGAAATCTCCGCAGTTCTGATTTCTCGCCCCAAAACTCACGAAATGTTTTTGCCTATAAAATTAAATCGCTTTGCTGGGACTTATATGATAGCAAAATAGGTAATACTCGTATACAGATTTTAACAAACTATATCTGATAACACTTAAAGGATTAGTGTCACACCAGGAATTCGTGGGCTCAAACTCCTGCTGGCGGCCATTTTTCGGGACGAATAGATTAGATGATCTGGAAAATTTTACAATCCATCATATATTTAAACCATCCTTTTATAATCCTTGCTCTTTTTGTGTGATTTTTATCAGAAATGTACCAAACAAGGTATTTTTATCGCTATTTGTTGTATTTGAGTAAAATGTAAACAATAACAAAAGCCCGCAATGCATGACCCTGACACTAATCCTTTAAGTAGTATAGCTCTTCTAACAGTAGTTTTACCTCGGGGTTGTCAGCGTTAGGTCCTTTTTCCAAGACACTGTGAGCTGTATCGGTGTTCAAATGATAACCAACAACTATGGAACATTGCGTTCTTAATGGCGCTTCCTGCTTTATTTGCCACTAAATAAAAGGGAAAAATTCTGATTTCTTGTAATTTATTGTTCTAACTGTTAATACGTTCTTTGACTTTTTAAGACCATGTAAAGGCGGTATTAGATTTACTACAAACATACATGGTTGATGGCAATTTGTATTAAGAATTGTGCCAAATGAAATGTGCATATTGATATCTTTTGCACATATGCTTTTGTTTTTTGCTCCAAAAATTCATATGACACCAAATCCAAAAATTCATGACGACATCATATCCGGAAACTGCTATAGCGAAAAACTTTATCATGCAAGAATAGGTTTTTTGCTATAAAGACATGCATCACATTTCTTCTTGGAATGACCAAATATTACACATATAAAAAGCCTTGTTTGGGTCATCTAAAAGAAACTTATATAAAAGCATTGCTTAAATAATATAACTTATAAAAGCATTGTAATCTAGGCATACAGTATATCAACTAATTACTTTTTATATTCAATAAAACATATTCTTTTACTGTACCTCGGGAAAGGTTATAGGCCAAATGGAAAGCATGTCAATTCGTTTGTCAAGAGCTTTCGAAAGAAGTTTTTCAAGCCATGTCAAACCAACCCTTAACCAATCGCCAGAAAAATTGAGTAATTTAGAATTTAGTTGTTTGTCTTTAACCACATTCTTCAAAACAGCCACGTCTTCGAGACTACGTAAAATAATAAGTTTATTTAATGCAGTGAAACCATTTTATACAGTATTTACATTTACTAAATAAAGTTTACATCAAATGTTTATAGTGTATACAGTATAGTACAGGTCAGGTACAACATAAAATATATCAGTATGTACATTTTAAAATACAACGGACAAACGAAAACAGGGGAAAATTTTATTCATGCCAGATACTGATCTTTTTGTGGTAGAAAGCGCGTATACCACTTATTTGTTCACTTACAGAAAGAAGTTATCATATCTTGTGACCAGTGATATGCTTTTCATAAATAGAACGTCGAAACTATCAACAAATTCGTGTTGAAGAATATCCAAAGCTCGCCTTGATTCACTTTGAAACTGTAAAAATCAAAAATATTCAATGATTATGTACATAACGAAATAGGCAGACAGTATAATTATATGTTTCATCAGAATATTATATACAATGTAACCATGATGGAAAAAGCAGCATTAGAAAACCGTTAATTGCGTGGCGTGTAGACACCATGTAGTCCATACTATGTTGTTAACTTTTCATGAACATTTTCTAAAGCATTCACTTTACTATAAGGACCATGCATTATCTAATTTATTTCTAACTTACTTGTCGAAATGCTGTCTCTGTCATGTTAGCAAGCAAATTCAGCACACCAGAAGAATCAAGGAATACCACTTCAAAATGATCGTGAAATTCTGTGATAGAAGGCTGTGAAAACAAAGTGCAGAAACACATAGACATGCGACTAAGGTAACATTACACCAAATAAATGACAATCTGCAGAATTGTAATCAATAAATTCTAACCATTCTGTCGTCAACAGATGCATTTCCGTCAACCAATGAAACGCCACTTGTGGTTAAATCTTTGGTGGCTGCAAATATAATAAATGGTAAGATTCTATATATCGACAGTATTAATTTTTATACAGTCGAAAATCATGGCCATTAATAACTTCATTATAATACGCACCTAAAAATTGCCAGAAGATCCGAATGATTTGATACGAACTCATGTGTTGGCTAATTTGATGTGTTTGAAGCAAATAGGCAATGACCATAGCACAATGGAATCCACTAAATCCTTGGAAGCCCTGAAATAGAAATAATAATAAAAATATATAGAACAATGAAATTCAAGATGTGAAAATATAAAAACAACATTTTTATTTAAATTCACTTTATTGGCACAGCCTATGTTTACAGGTATTGCTATACTTTATTTATTTCAGAAATATCACCATATGTGAAATTCATAGTTTCAAAAAAACTCGTCTGGTTTTAAATTCATATCTTGGCATTATTCTTTGGAATCTGACTGAACAAAATAGGTGGGAAAGTGATTTTATGATTTATGATATGATTTTACATGCTCAGTTTGCCTGTTACAATAAATCCTATATAATTATACCTCATCTAGGCGTCGTTGATGTATCCATATTTTACACAAGACAATAGCATCAATAAGGGACTGGTGTGGGGCTATTTTGCCATAGAGAAAATGCAGATGTTTTTCCATCAACATGTCTGTTAAAATTGATGTGTTGTAGTGCGAGGTTGCCGACACAGGGTCTACATCATAAATATACAAAGATACGGTAATTATTCAAATACGATATTGCTTGTAGTCATGGCTTTAAAATACAAGCTCTCAATAGCTCTGCAGCCACTGTTAACTATAAGAATGTAAATTTATACACTACATAAAAAACACAATTGCGAGTTCTGACCAGACCTACAAAAAAGGGAGATCGCTGAATCCCGAGGAACAATTTGCGTCAGCAAGAAGATTGAGGAAGATTATTTTTTCAATTTTTCATACATAGTACGTTTTATGAGAATCTTCAGAAATTATTATATCATACTTCCTAATCTGTCCTTTGAGACATGTAACATTAATACAGTCAAGTACAGTATTACTTTGTTGTTGCATATATAATGTTCATAACAATTAATAACAATTAATACATAATTCATATACACTATAGAGGAACATTTAAAAAAAGAAAATTCACGATCCAATGAACACTTTTTCCAGGTCTGGTATTGCTCTCCAAATTTAAGACTAACCTAACGTCTCTAACACTGCGGTATCCTCTTGTCCGAAAAACCAAGTATATTGGAGATTGTTAATTTTTGGCGAGAACCTTGGCAACTTAAAAGCACCATCTCCCAATGTTATAAAAACTTTGATTGTAACCTTTTCACCAACTTGTCCTGCAAATGAAAAATATTTCAAATCACACCGATTTGGAGGAGGTACTTTATTCAACTAAGACTAAGAAACTCTTTGCAACAAAAGGCGAATTACAAGTTTTTACATAAGAATTTACATGTTATAAAGTTTAAAAATATGTCAGTTTTGTTATAATCTTAGTTAATAATCAAAGATTATTCAATGAAATTATTACAGCTTTCCAGTTTCCAAGAACAACTTGCATTTCATTTCCCTTAAATTTCACGTTGCATACACTTCTATTGCCAACTGGCAAGTACCTTTGGGTTTTAGAAGAAGAATTGGTTTCCATAACTCGCCATTGTGACAGGAAAACGCAACATTCTTAAACAGCTTGCTCTTCTTGATAAACGAAGCAAGAATCGCAAGGTATATACCTCTCTTGTAGTGATAACGAAGATTTAAATAATCTTTGCTGTGAATCAAACCCTAACAAATATTAAACACAATAAAACATGAAATTTGATCTTGCACAGAACATTTTAAACAAATTTTGTTTGACATGTATGATATGCGAATATCATAGTTGTGGCATCGCAGTAGAAAATTCGGAAAACACAATTTATTTTCTTATATTATTTAGAGAGTGCCTATCAAACTATTTCGAGAAATAAGAGGCAATTGTCTAGGCTATTGGGAACCTTGTTAACCCAATAAGTAATTACATAATTAGCACCATAATGCACCCTGCTTTATTATCTTACTATGTTTGAATGCCAGACTATTTTACTCGTCAAGGAGAGAGCACTGATGCTCAATGGGCTCAAATTTTTAAAGAATATATTATGAGAATTTTGTTGGGACATAGAAAACTGTCCGAAATATCGATGCCCGCAACGAGTGGTTTCATGACCCCGTTTTTAATAAGATTACCTTGGGTAACTGGACCGCTATGTCAACATTTATTTCTTGCTTGCATAACGTTCCAAGTTGATAGCTACCAATTACATTTACTGATTCTGGTTTTTCAAAAGTAAACTTTCCTTTCACCGGACCAGGCATGGTGGGAAGAGGGATACGCACATTACTCGGAAGCCAGCTGAGGTCACTTATCTAAAAATAGAAATGACTCGTAAAACAAAAAGTATTTGACATATATACAGGAATGTCGCAAAGTCACTTAGTCACTAACATTGGGGTGGGGGAGGTTGTCCTGATATTTTAACCAAGGTTTTGGGCCTTTTGGCTTTTCAAAGGTCTGTCACTTTTCAAAGGTCAATAACTCTTTTTCTTTGTGCTTTTGAGTACTACTGTGTAGTTAGTTGACAATGTAAACCTGCAATTTGAAAAACCAACAAGTGATCAACTATTCCACCAAAATATTTTCAATTTTGACCAAATTTTTGCACCTTAAAAATTGGGGGTGTTACACCATCCAGCAGTGATGATGCATACCTATGAACATGGACTTAATTTAAAATGTCTAGCAGTTCCATAGTAATTAAATAAATGTATAGTGTACTTACATCTTGTTGGTCTCCATCAGGCAAAGACATTAATAATTCATTAAGCGAATGCAGCGTCTCTTCTAGTTTTTTCTTTCTCTTTCGAAGGCAAACTTCAGCGAGCAGTTCATTAATTTGCATATGAAGCAAGCTTGAGTGAAATAAACTTTCTGTCTCTTTCAATGAATTAAGTTCCTCTGATGTAGGAGGCCGATACAAGCTCTCTTTGTTGTCCGAATAATGAAATGCAGGCTTGGAGTCATCCTGTTTTGCTGCCTGAGAAACAACAAGAAATATACGGTGTAATTAGTCCTGGTTTGTAAAATGAGAATTGATAAGAATTGGTAAGCAAGAATTTGCATGAGAGTTTGCATCGATATTACCATAACCCTAATCAAAAGAGCCAAAACTCTCATTAACCCTTTAAGTGGCAGATGCGCCCTACTTTGTTATTTTACTCTGTCTATAAGTATACGCCAGATTATTTTACTCGTCAGCGGGAGAGTGCTGGGTTGACTTGCTAATTGCTATTACCACAATTTGAATCAGCCGACAGATGTGATTAACCCATTAAGTTGCATCACACATCAATGTGCCATTACTTTATTATTTTACTCTGTCTAATGCCAGATAATGTTATTCTAACACCAGACAATTTTACTCTCCATTGTCTAATGCCAGACAAGTTTACTTGTCAAGGCTCCGCGCTGGTGCTCAATTAGGTAATACTTTAGTTTATTAATTAAAAGTAAGAAATTTATACAAATTCATATTTGTGGTGCATGTACTCAGGTGAAATTATTGAGTTGGTGTCCACACTGGGCAAGCCGAAAAGTTTGCTTGACCAAGGTTGGAATCGAACCTGCAACCTTTGGTTTGCCAGTCCAATGCTCAACCAACGGAGCTAGAAGCTCAAGTCGGTTTGAGTAGGCTGTATTTTGGAACCAAGTCCAGTTCTTTCGATAACAGTATACTTCTTGTGATCAATGAGTGTGATGTTTGCGGTTATCATGAAATATCACCTCAAGTAATATCACGTGAGTACATCACCAAAATCATCACATTCATGATTATGATACATCTACTGATTTATTATCAAAGAAATTAGACTGAGTTCCGAAAAACCACATACTCGAACCGACGTGAACTCGTAGCTTCGTTGGTAGAGACGTATAAAGCATTGGACTATATTAAACAAACCAAATGTAGCGGGTTCGATTCCCAGTGTGGACACAACTAAAACATCATACTCTGATATTCACTGCATCAACGACCAAAAAAATGTTTAAACTGATACGATACCTTAGTGACTGTATTTGAATCACTTTTTTCCTTCGATTTTCGCTTCATGTCTGACAAAAGACAAAATCGCGTGCTCCAAATCACAAACAAACGCAAAGATTTTAGATTTGTTTTCAAATTTTGCAACACATGGCCTCGATGTTCGCTCGCAAGACGCTTCCGGTCATTTAAAAATACCTTACATGAAGTTTCACGATATTCTAACTGCGATCCTTTGGGTATGCGGAGTACGTTCACTGAAAAATGATTGTACTTCATGTAAGGACCACAAAAGAGTTTGAAAATATGTACCAGCAGGCAAGCTGAAAAGTTTGTCTCAGTCTGACCACAGTAGGAATTGAACCAGCGATATATCACCAACTCGAACTAGTACCCCAAAGGTCGCGGTTCGATTCTAACTGTGGTCAGGCAAACTTTTCAGCTTGCCCGGTGTGGATGCACACTCAGAGTAACATCACAAACATCAATTTATTATGTTTCCTCAAAGAAATTTATTGTGCAAGCTATAACACAAAACAACCAACTGTCAACCATTACACACAAGTCTCTGAACATAGCATGATAGCAATAGATAAATTGTGCAAGAAATGTTATCAGTGTCTGGAGAAATGTTATCAATGTCAAGAATAGCAAGCTGCCTCACTGTGCTCTGCAGCAAATATTCAACCTCGTACACAGCTGGTTAATAATAATATTAATTTTTCTATAGTTTATACAGTATACAATACAACTTATACAGTATACTATAGTTATAGTTTTGGTTCATGAAATGCAATTTTTCCTGCAAGACATCCAGTGGCAAGCAACATGTGATTGGGTGAGAATTTGCTGCAACAGACAGGCATCGAATGGCCCAACAGAAACTTGACTTCACTCAGAGATTTCACTTTTGAATGTTTCCTCCAATGAGAGCAATCGGAGTCAAATGCCAGAAGCCTTGTACCATGTCCAAATGGCGATGCTATGACACGACCATCAGGGCTAAAACCTTGCTCTTTTATAAAACCTGATCCAGAAACCGACTCTTGGATGTAGTAGCTCAGTCTTCTTTCACCTGTACAGTATGATAATATGATATCAAAACATTGAAAAATTTAATGCATTCAAAACATCTAGTATTCACAGGTTAGCAATAGGTTAATGAGAGCGAAATGCTCTTGAATGCCAGCACTATCCCCTTAATGAGTAAAATCTTATGGCTAGCTGGTAATAGAAAAATTGGCTAAACTGTTGACATCATTGCTACCCAATCACAACTTTAGATAACTGACATGCCGGCAATCTGATGCACGTGCTGAAAAACCGTTGCTTGCTTAGTTCGTTAATAACTAGGCATGTGAGTGAATATCTAAATGAGTGAATATCTATCTTGGTATAAACAAAACATTGGCCAAATTTGTCCATCTTACTTCACCTGTACTCAATGTCTTAAAGCGTCATATTAATTAAGTTAATTATAATATTAATTCAACATGGGAACCTTACCACATGAAAAGCATGATTGCATATCATGAACTATTGTATATTCATCGTTATTTGTGGTCAAATATCTGGACACCAAACATGAGCCATGCGGGTGGACTACAAATGATGGTATACGAAGTGGAATATCGATGTATTCTGAATTGCTACTAAGTCTTTCTGGAATATTTCTAATGTGAACTTCATCATTTTCATTTTCCGCTGGGACTCCATCAGACAGATCGTCTGCAAAATGTGGCAAGTCGAGATTATGGAAAATTATAATTATATCACCACTATTCTCCCAATTTTGACATGATATGATTAGCTTATTAAGTGTGACCTGCATACGAGACACATCTCTGTCAGAGTACATTGTCACACTTGCATCGTGTTCTGAACACGGGGATCTATTTATATCCCACATGCGAACAGTACCATCGAACGCAGAACTGAGCAACATTTTTGTGTTTGTATCGTAAACCAAACTTTTCACCCATCCCGTATGCCCTGATAGTTCCATTATATGTTCCCCTAACATCCGTGTATCCCATAATGCTACATTACAATCGTCTGATCCACTTGCAAATATTCTTTCGTCGCAAAAACAAATGGTGTTGACAGAATCTTCATGCGCATTCGGCATTCTGTGCACACATTTCCTCGATATCGGATCATACAATAAAATTGCACGTTCCTCACAAGCAGCGACTAGCATTTTGCCACTGGGTGAAAACTCTAGATTAAATATGGCCCCATGTGCTTCATCTTGGTTCCATGACATTTTTAAGTGTTTATAATATTTTGATGTCAAGGTATCGTGCTTTAAAAACTGTTGTCCAATTTCTCGCTTTCCTAGCATATTTAGCGACGAATAACCGCGTTTCCTCTTCACTTCAGCTTCCATTAATAGTATTAAAATTTAGCTTTTTAAAACAAAATTTTAAATCTTGCAACAAAACATTCTGTGATGAAACAAGATTCCAGAATTCCTTAAACAAGGTCTAAAATTCCTTATTTTTCCCGGAAATTCGTCTATGGCAAAAGGAATCAGAGAAATGAAACACAGCCATTGTGCGAGCGTGATTCCGGAGGGGATGAATGTTCCGACTTGATATGCTGTCTACAGATTAAGCCAGACAAATATCAAACCAATCGAGTCTTTCAAAGAATTTTAATAATTTCTAAAAATCCTTGATTTTATGCAACATTCCTGTTTTTAAGGATAGTTTGACCTTCGAAGAACACTCAACGGCTAGTATTACTTGAAGTATCAAGTACGGTGAAAACCGCTGACAAGCCTTTTACGGGCTCAATGAGGAGAGAAAGTGAGAAAGCGCTTTTTCAAGTTTCGAAATTGAGAAGTCTTTCTCAGCAAATTTTTTAGTTATTTTAAAATTTTCCTACTTGAAATGGCCGACGACGATGACTGGGCATCTGCTGTGACAGCACAAGAAAGCGTATCAAAAAAGGTAAGTTATTTTTTTCGATAATTGTGAGGTTTTAAACTTGTGCCAGAGACAGTCAGGTTGACTCACGTGTTTGGTAGCATTTAATAATTAACATTCTGTCATTTCAATGATTTTAAGTCGTGTTATATTAAATTGTTATATGTGTTATAGAAAGATATCAATTCATTTTGAGGTTTAGGCAGTATATATATCTATATAGATCTGCGTTCAGGGTATTATTGCAGTGATACAAAAAAAATCTCACATTTTATGCCTGAAGTGTAATGTGAAAAGGGACATTGCACTTCCCTACTGCTTTAGAAGCCAGTAATTCATCTCTGTGAAAAGTTGCCCTCATTTTAACAATAATTGCACACCAACAAATCGTAACATTTTCATAGTTCCAAAATATCCGCTCCAGGTAGGGGTGCACCAGATTTCAAATCTGGCCGGAATTCCGGCCGGATTTAACAAATTTTCCAGTGTCCGGCATCCGGCCGGATTTGGAGAAAATCCGGCCGGATTTAAATTTCTGTTTTCACCTTCAATATTCACCAAGAATGGGATAAACCATCAATTTGGCAGCTTTAAAGTTTAAAAAACACTTAATATTATTATAAAATATTAAGTTATTAAAAAAGGTTTAAACACAATAAAAAATCTAAACTGACACTAACTAAAAATAGTAAAAAACATAAACCGCCATTTTGAACAATGAATTATCCCAATTTATCCCCATTACCGGTTTATCTCAAATCCGGGAATTCCGGCCGGAATTTTTGTCCGAATCCGGTAAATCCGGTTCCGGCCAGATTTGAAAATTCCAAATCCGGTGCACCCCTAGCTCCAGGCGACCTAATTTGGGGGAACAGCGACACTCACCCATATGCCTACAACACTCACAAAGTGTACAATGTGAAAAGGGACATTGCACTTCCCTCCTGCTTTAGAAACCAATAATTCATTTGTGTGAAAAGTGGGAATAATTTTAACAATAATTAAACACCAGCAAATCGTACGATTTTCACGGTTCCCAAATATCCGCTCCAGGCGACCTAAGCTGGGGGAACAGGGACACTCACCCGCATGCCTGCAACATTCACAAAGTGTACAATGTGAAAAGGGACATTGCTCTTCCATACTGCTTTAGAAACCAGTAATTCATCTTTGTCGAAAGTGGCAGCAATTTTAACAATAATTACACACCAACAAATCGTAAGATTTTCACGGTTTTCCAAATATCTGCTCCAGGCGACCTAATTAGTTAGGGGAATAGGGACACTCACCTGCATGCCTAAACACTCACAAAGTGTACAACTTATTTTGATGCAGAAGCTGGTGTACAATTTTCAATTTAATAGTTCTCTCTAGTACACATATAAATGGCCAATTGGAAAATTAAAATGTTTGTTTGCAATTGACCATTTGCGTAATAGACTAAATTTTGAACTAAACAAGTCTAGACAAAAATTTCATCACAGCTTGAAGGAGCATCACAAAATTAGTAATATTCCAAAGTTTCGT